TAAAGACGCATCATACATAAATATCAAGATATAACGCAGCATAATAGCATGAACAAACAAACTCTTCAGTAATACTTTATGAAAATACAAATCTCACAAAACTCTATTGTACAAATGCAGACACCAAGGAAGTGGATCATTAGACAGTTCACTATGACGAGCAACTTCGCATTACTGAAGAATATTCATCGTACAGTTGCAACATTTATAGGTATCCATCCACTTAAGCTGATACTGAATCAGTGTACCTCGGCACTGAGGTATCCTATTATTCATCATTGTGATCACTTATTTACCTCTTTGATCTCCTACCAAAAAAGCTTTTAATCGTATTATATGAACGGAAAGGAGGCATTTCATACCAGTCTTGAAATTATTCATTATAGAATTCCTCATCGTTATACCTTAGCTATGTCATTTTCACATTCATATTCTGATCACAATTCTGTAACTTTATGATCGTTCCATATAATATACGTTTATTCGAACATATCATATCAGTTCTCCAGAATAATTGAGATCTTCAACTGTAAAATTCTTAAGGCTATGGAAATTGTGGTGACTTTATTGATGTTTTGAATCCAAATTAAGCGATAATACCTGTGTCGCTCAGTGATAACAATATACAACCGATTCCGCCACAATGTCGGTCATTTTCGATCAGAATTGATGAAGGTGATCAAGATTATTCATTAAATTTGATCGCATAACCGGGACGAAATTAAGCTCACTCTATTAGCTTACATGAATCAGTGTCAATCATTTCAGTTCAATTGCATCAACTGCTTTTTGATGGCTCATAGAGAATTGCGTAGTAATAGACAGTAAACAAGAAACAATGCAGTAACAAATATCACATGATCGATTCTTTGATTTGTTGAAAAACCGAAGAAAAAAGATATCCACATGAAATCATTTAGGGCATTCACATTCATTCTAGATCATCAAATCATAGGTTCACAGTCAGTTGCGTAGAGTAAAACAGGTGCGGGAGGCGGGGCCGGAGTTAGTGAGAAAATTGTTCGATGAGGGGAGAACGCAATACGATAGGATACGATGCGATAATGAACGAATCCATCCAACGGTAGAGGACCAAGCCGCAGCACAGCAGCACGGTTGCAGTCACGGCAATGCCCAACAATACAGTGTGGTGGTTGTTTGGTTGGTAGATTCGTGTTTGGAATGAGTGTCTTATGGACGGGCGGACGGATGGGACTGCGACGAGAGTATTTTCGGTTTCATAAGTATCTTAGGGGGATCATCCGTTGCTTAGCCGAGCGCATTTTCGCAGTCGGTGAGCTCGATTAGCCCTCAGTAAACCATCAGGATTAGGCAAGGATTGATGAAGGTTTTAGCAACCAACCAGCCTATCGTCTGTTGCCTACTGCAAAAATCTCAAAAATCGACAGAGAACATTCCGAAATATTGTTGTTCTTCATTAAAGCGTTCAAATNCATGTCCTTCTGTGGAATCGATTCGATACGCTTCATGCCGTATATTTCGCAATTTTCACCAGCATGCATTCTCGATTTATTCCCTATTGATGTAACACCATTTCATAACGCATTTTAATTAAATTCAAATTATTGCAACTGATTTGACGTTCGGATGAATCACCCTATCTCTTGAGCCATCAGTTGATGACGGTGATGATTACAATCTCATTTTAAGGGAACTGGGTCGTTCTGATGGGAGAATTTTATCCATGATATTACAATAATTTTCATGAGCCTTTGTTAGCAGGACCAGCATTTCTTGAAAGCGTGGATCGCCTTCTATTTGCAGAACCCTTTTAAATGTCAAACTTTCCAGCTCTTTCAACTGGATTCACAATACCAATACGAAGCTGTTGATGAACTATCATGTTTTTGATGTGTTTAGAAAAGATTATCAGTCATAATATTCATAAAGTACTCTATTTACATTAATCGTCAAATTGTTTTCTATTATTGTGTGCGACGACATCTTCACAATGTTTTGTTTGATGGACACACCGAACGGATTTACAAGCTTTCAAGTGCGGTTACTTTTAGCGCATACCGTCAAAAGAGTTGTTAATCCGCCTGTCGAGAGTCTATGCTATGTGGTTTTCATCTTTAGTTGTATAGCGATTAGTTTTATGCTGAGGCCAAACCATCTTTGATGCACACCGCGCATCTATGCATTGTTGCATTCCTGTGCCATATTTGTATTATTTCCACCACTCTGTTGACAATACTTTAGCAACATTCATGCATACACTCACCATATCTACGATAGATATTATGCACTCTGCAGCATTCGATCTGAGCACTCAATCGGAATATGATGTTGGGCAGCTTAGAAAAACTCTTGACAGTTGTATCATGAGTGTGTTCAATTCAGTAGATGTGATGATACTTACGATAGCAACAATTATAGCGATGAATAGTAATAATTCACAGTGATATCATTAATAATGGCAAAATCAGTAGTAATATCATTAATGAGTGATGATGAATGTGGAATATGTTCAGCAATATGTTCAATAGATTCAATGAATTAATTCAAAATTCATTCCGATACCTCAGTATAATCCGTAATAATCATTCACAGCGACGATTCCTAATCCAGATCATTCATGTTCAATTAACTTGATTGTGATTCATTTTGTTGTCAGTTCTCTGACTCTTCAAATGATACGAAAAAATTGTGTCATTCTGACATTATTTTGTTCAGTTTAAGATAACACTGATTGTGAATTGAATACTGATTTTGAAACTTCTTGACGAAGTATTCGAAATCCCATCTTACGTTATTAATAGTTCGTATTCACTAGTTCAAGGAAACCACATGAATAGAAGTCTTCTCCATCACCACATAACACATCTTCGCAAAGCGCTCCCTTGATTTATTTTCTGTGGAACAATTAATAACGAAGATTCTGCTAGCCATAGGTCAGTTTGTCGCCGTTTTGCTCATAAACGTTTCCTTGAATTCTTTGATCACTACTTGAAAATTTCAATTTGTGTTAACACGTCAAGCCAAAATATGAATTTTGATCATGTTTTTGAGATTTTATCACTTCTCAAATCTAAAAAAAACATTCAGAAGTAATAAAGTAATAAAGTAATCAAACATGCTTGGTAGGAGAAGCTCCTACCAAACATGCTTGATTACTTTATTGATAGTTTATCAGCGTCAACATATATATATCGACAAGCATTTCCGGCCCAAAACACGACACTAAAACTTGTCAACCCTCTTATCAGTTATGAAAATGTCATTATTTGCAATCATCATCGAACGATTTCTTTGACAGGTTTCAGGTTTTTCACTCAGATTACCAGCTATTCTCTCTCTGTTGTTCTTTATCAATTTGTTCTGCAAAATTTGTTTCTCGATGAAATTCCTTGTTATTCGCAATCCACTTCATCATTCAATGTCAGCTAGAAAGATTCTTGGTTAATAATTTTTTTGAAACGAAATCCCGTTTTCGAACATTTACGCAGTTTAGCCAGTCAGAATAAATAAATGTGTGATGCGTAATGTAATGGAAATCTGACTGCTGTGGGCAGCTGATTGGGCGGTGCGTTTAGATAAGGCGTGACCAAGGTGTGTCCCGATTGGCTGATTCATTCAAGCGTTATTCACGGGCGACTATGAATGCATTTTGTCAGATGCTTTAGAGAATGGCGAATGCGGAGGGTGCATACAGATAGATGAACGCAGACACGGATACAGTATTTGAAATGATTTGAGTTGGCAAGGAATTTGACAAGAAAATTTTGGAAAAGAGACTTGCAAACGCATTGGTTCGTAGCGAGATGCTGCTGCCGTTGCTGGTCGAACTGAGCCGGCCGGGCGCAACGCGACAGCTCACAAAACGTCCATATCTGATATATTATATGAATACGACGACCACTCTCCTCTTTCACCGAACAAACAGACTATCTACCGTAATCAGCTTGCCTCACTCTAACACTCTTAGCCATGTTGAATAAGTTGTTGAAATGTCGCGTTTAGGAGTTTCATTATGTTTTATTGCCAATAGAAGATGTATCATATAGTGCAATGAACGCATAATATTTGCAAGAATTCATAATAATAGTTGTTGTGAATGTAAAGTAATGTGAACTGAGTGAAGCCGATCAGCGTTGTATTTGATTTATTACTTAATATAATATTGTGTGATCCGCTGTATAATCTGTTTAGTGAAAGTTCATTTGAGAAATAAGCAGATTGCGTTATTGTTTGAATAATTGATCGTGTTATGCTAGCATTGCTGCAGTCGGTGTTGTTATGGCTGGAATGACTGAATGTGCTCAGACACGATTATCTTTTTCAAATGCTCTACCCGAGAGGATCACCTCCGATCATCCCATATTATCAGAGCCCAAGCCGATTGTCTTCCACAACTTCAACGAATCTTTCCACCCTTCTGTTCACATTCGTTTCGACTTCTACACAAGCTTACTGTTATTATTCCACTTTCACAAGGGCATTATCATCGAATTACTATCATAATACCGTGTAAATCCAATTACTCTCTTCGGTATTGATGCTAAGCCCATCAACTGTCAATAGCAAGATTGCATTGAACAAAATGCAACTGATTCCTTGCAATATTTCGAACAGATTAAACTTTCGAATTTTGTTACAGCAACATTCTGACCTAACTCAACGTTTTCGAATGATAATGAAATTCACTGGAATGAGAAAGGCTTGTGGATCAGATAAATGAAAGAACGCATGTAAAGTTTCCAACGGCAGGACCATTTTCATTGAGTTCTGCCCAATACCTCACTAGTGATGTTGTCGATCAAGGTTTAAGTATGCATGAAGACCGCCACAGTATTCCTTAATAGCTCTGTGTTATAATATCAATTTAGCACTGAATCCATTTCATGCTCTAACCAATTTTACAAATGTATCGTTGCGAGTTTTGTTTCGGGTTAATTCTGTCGTTTCGAAGCATTCGGATCGTGCTGGTCACATGGAATTTGTCGAATCGCATCTAAGTTCAATTCGAATTTCAGTGAATGTCTTACATTCCAACCGTGAGCGTCAGCAGCGCGGCTGCAGCCGCTAATATGAGTTCCGCAGCAAACATGGCTGCCGCAGCCTATTTCAAGAACGGTGGCTATGGTAATCCGCATATGCCCGGAGCGGCCGCTTTGGGTTTCACCACTCCGAGCGCACATAATTTTCTGCCAGCTGGCATGGGCTACATCGGTGGCTCATTGGCCGATTGTCAAACTGCTAGCATGGCCGCATGGAATG